TTTTCGGTCCTCATTTGTTCATCTGTGAATATTTCTATTACAACAACGTAATTAGCAGAGACAAAAAAATAGAATATTTATACAAATAAAACATTGGTCTGAGTAACAGTGACAGAAATGCCACAAACTGCCTTTTGGTCAAGGCCTTGAATCACTTTCAGAGGAAGAAGTATGACTTCTCAATCAGAGACAATGGTAAAAGCCAAATTACATCTTGACTAGTTGGGGAGAAGAGTAATTTATGAATGTAGGGCCATAAAGTCATAATTTTAGATTTCCTTATATTGTGCAGTGAAGGCAATATCATACTTGCTCTGCTCCCTAATGTGAAAGATAAAAAAGGAAACAATAATAGATAAATTTGTATTGAAATAGAAGCTTTTTGTTTCAAAGTACTCCTTTCATAAGTACAAACATTTGCAAATTGCTCTTCGGTAAAAATAAACTTTCAGGGGAAAAGTAATATTGAATAGACCCATCACAATCAATTATTAAATCAAAAACATCTCTGAGTTACTAGTCAAGATGCTTCAGATTTAATAAATATTCTTTCATTCATTCAGCTAATATCTGTTGGGAGCCTCTTTTGCTCCAAAAAGAGAGAAAACTGTGCAGAACCAGAAAGATAAATTCTTTCTATTCTTGGAATTTACATTCCAGCAGAGGGGCACTGACAAAATATAAGTGAACACATTTTTTAAAAGAATATTTTAAAGGTGGTGGTTATGAATATTATATAGAAAATAAGAAAGTAAAATTAGGATAGTCAGCTCACAAAGGAGTTTACACTTAAGGTGGGACCTCAGTGAGCCTCCCAAGAAGAGGGAACTTGACATACGAAGTTTCTATATTGTAAATTAACTTGAAGCATTTGAGGAACAGAAGTGTCTTGTGGTTGGAAGGTGGTGAGTGAGAGCTGGAGAGGCAGAAATAAAGCAGAAAGGCAGCTAGGCAGGATTACACACCCCTGCTGAGCTCTGACTTGGATGCTGGATGTTTTTTCTTCCTGTGTACAGTAGTACACTGTTTTTTTTTTGATATCATGAATATACAATTACGCAAGCAACGTTGTGGTTACTAGATTCCCCTCATTATCAAATCCCCACTACATACCCCATTACAGTCACTGTCCATTAGTGCAATAAGATGCTGTAGAGTCCCTACTTGTCTTCTCTGTTATACTGCCTTCCCTGTGCCCCCTACATTATGTGTGCTAATAGTAATGTCCCTTTTTCCCCTTCTCCCTCCCTTCCCACCCTGCACCCCCACCACAGTCCCTTTCCTTTTGGCAACTGTTAGTCCATTCTTGGGTTCTGTGAGTCTGCTGCTGTTTTGTTTCTTCAGTTTTTGCTTTGTCCTTATGCTCCACAGATGAGTGAAATCATTTGGTTCTTGTCTTCCTCCACCTGGCTTATTTCACTGAGCATAATAGCCTCTAGGTCCATCCATGTTATTGCAAATGGTAGGATTTGTTTTCTTCTTATGGCTGAATAATACTCCATTGTGTCTATGTACCACATCTTCTTTATCCATTCATCTACCAATGGACACTTAGGTTGCTTCCATTTCTTGGCTATTGTAAATAGTGCTGTGATAAACATAGGGGTACATATGTCTTTTTGAGACTGGAAAACTGCATTCTTAGGGTAAATTCTTAGGAGTGGATTTCTGGGTCAAATGGTATTTCTATTTTTAGTTTCTTGAGGAACCTCCATACTGCTTTCCACAATGGTTGAACTAGTTTACATTCCCACCAACAGTGTAGGAGAGTTCCCCGACAGTAGTACACTCTTGAAAGCTTTAGATTGTTGGGGAAATATAGGTAAAAGCAAAATCTCCCAAGCTATAAAACCTTTCCACAAAGCTAGGAGAACAAGAAAATCATTTCATTACTGAATTAGCACTTAACATCACCAGCAATCTTCCAAACAGATTGTGAAAATAGAAATATGAATCTTATATAGCTAAGTAGAAATGACCCACACATTAAGTAGGTTTTGCAATTTGGAGTCAAGTGAGAAGGTAGACCCATGTCACCCAGGACCCTAGGAGATAAGGCATTACCTTCTTTGATGATTACATTTCAAAAAGAGGAAGATCAGAGCAAGACCATTGGCTTGGTTTAGGGTGGTGGCAATGGAGTTGCAGAGAAAAAAATGGATTAAGATATATGTATTAGGGTTCTCCAGAGAAATAGAACCTATAGGGTTTGTGTATATGTATCTATTCATCTAGCTAGCTAACTATCTCTGTCTGTCTATTTATCTTTTAAGAGATATTTCTTTTAAAAAATTGGTTCATGCAGTTGTGAAGTCTAGGAAGTCCAAAATCTAAAGGGTAGACTTGCAGACTGGAAATTCAGGGAAGAATTGATACTGCAGTTCAAGTCCAAAGGCAGTCTAGAAGTAAAATTCCCTCTTCTTCAGGGACCTAGGTCTGTTTTCTCTGAAGGCTTCAACTGATTGGGTGAGGCTCACCCACAGCGTGGAGAGCAATCTGCTTTATTCAAAGTCTACTAATTTAAATGCTAATCTTATACTAAAAAAAAGAAAAGTGCCTTCACAGCAACATCTAGACTAGTGTTTGACTAAATATGTGGGTACCATGACCTAGCCAAGTTGGCACATAAAATTAACCATCCCACTATATTTTTGAGTAGAGCCAATAGAATCTGCTTTTGTCCTATAGAGTGAAGGAAAGCTGGAATCCAGGATGACTCCTGGGTTTTTGACTCTAGGTGGGTGACGATGCCATTAATGATGAGACGATCAGATGTTTGCTCATTAAATACCATCATACTTAGAGTGAAATATGGATGAAAAAATTAAGATGGAACTACAGATGAAAATTAAATAAATGAAATAAAGTTCAAATAAGTATGAAAACTTTTGTGCAAAAAGACTTTCAAGCACCTTACCTTAAATGGCTGGTTACCAATTGGTTGGTTGACTGAATTTGGGCAATTAATAAGTGTTGGCTGCTCAACAATACAATCAAGTGACTGAAGTATCAGGTGGAAGATATATTTATTATTGACAATGAAAAATTACTGAGGAAAACTTTCTGAAAAGTGGAACATAAATCTAGATAGAAAAGCAGACAAATTAAATGTAAACGGCAGTACACTTGAGTTTACAGATATATGTGACAAAATTTTCAGAGTTCATTACCTTTTTAGATTAGAGAAGCCTAGATTTACATTTGTGTGTGAGAAATTATCATAGGGCTCTTTAAAAGAAAAAGCATAGTTTCCTATTTCCTAAGTTTTATTGTAAACAAAATGCCATCTGATTGAAATTAAAATTCAATTCCAATGCAGAAACTTGCTTATTCTGTCACACTGGGACATGGGCAGCAACAAAATGACAGCTAACCTAGGCAGGAGTTCAGCTAGACAGGAGGAGATGCCATCAAGCATTGCATGTTAGGTTGACATACGTCAAGTCCAGAGGAGGCAACAGAGGCAGGTATTCTGAATTTAGACTCTATTGAGTCCCAGTTCCAAGAAATCAAACCACCAGAAATGAGAAACACAACTGAGGAACTAGGCAGGGTTCAAAGCAGCACTTAATTAGGAACCCAGACCAGAGAGAGGCAGGAAGTCTCTAACAAGGGCAGGGCAAGAGAAGATAACAGGAGCACGGAAGAAGAAAATAATCTTTTGAGGCAAAGATCCACTATAAACTCTAAGTTAATGGTCCAAGAACTGCTCTCAGAGTGTAAATGGTGCTTTTAAACAGAGAAAGACTCTGCTAGTGGGATTATTATTACTTTGTCATATTACACTAAAATGATTTGAATAAAAGTAATGAGGTCATTTAATCAGACCCTAAAACATCTGTAATACTACCAGCTCATTTTGAGAGAGCCACTTAAATAGTAGCAATTTAGTAATCCCTCATAAGAAGTATTTAATTTGCATTTATGTCATGAAATTAAAACAGTTCCTTTCATTTGTCTATTCTTTAAAAAGTAAGCAAAAAAAGAAAAATCTTTACATGAGTTCGATTTTGATTGAAGGGGGAAAATATGATTACCAGATCCCTTTTTTGCGCGGGGTTTGGGAGAACAAGAGGAAGTCCAGTTTTGCCAGCTAGCATCTATGTACTATAAGTATAAACTGTCTATACATATTTATTTCACTTGAGCCACATATTACTAGTATGAAAAAACAGTTATTTGTAAAGTTATTCTCTTAAATATTACATCAAATGATATAATGCTATAAAAACTTACATTTATTTAACCCTTACTGCAAACTTTTACAAATTACTAGACTTTTAAATATGTTTTTTAAAAATCTTTTTATTATATAAAAGCTAGGTTGAGTATGCCAATGGAATGACAGTTAAGTTATATAACAGGTACTAACTTATTTCTAGATGTCATATCTCTGCTGTTGTAATGGAAACAAAACAAAAAACTACTCTGGTTGCCCAGGCTTGGGCTACCCAGAAAGCACTTAGTTCAAAGATTCATTGAACAAAAAATAAAGGTAAAATTTCTATCTAATGTTATCAGTGGAATGATCAGATACAAGTTTCATCTATCTCAAAGAGGGAAAGGGAGGGTCAGATTTCAAAATTCTATTCCAGAATATACATACATTTAGTTTTACAGCTTATTGGATTCATATCCAATTTTTTTTTCTCAAATGGGTGTTATTTCTTTCTTTGTCACCTACCTTTTATGTTTACTCTGCTACAATTTGTATGCATTTAAGGCAAGCCTTTTCATACTTTTATAGTGAATTAGGACATCTCAAAGAATCCCAGCCCACTTCTGGCAGCCACTGCTTCTCAAGAGGGGCTCCTCAGTCCTGTCTCTCTCTAACTTCAGGGATCCCCCAGATGCTGAGCTGTCCTAGAGAATCAACTTTACCCCTTTTGCTGTGATCAGAAATCTTTAGAGAAATGTAAAGTTGGGAACTTTTGACTTAAAACATCATCTTTGTCACATGTATTAACTTAAACATTCTTTCTTCTTTTTTTTTTGAACAGACACTAGGCAATTTTTAATATATAATGAAGACCACAAGCGCTGTGTGGAAGCATTAAGTCCGAGTGCAGTCCAAACGGCAGCTTGCAACCAGGGCAATGAAGCACAGAAATTCCGATGGGTGTCTGAATCCCAGATTATGAGCGTTGCATTTAAATTATGCTTGGGGGTGCCGTCCAAAACTGATTGGGTTGCTATTACTCTGTATGCCTGTGACTCGAAGAGCGAATTTCAGAAATGGGAATGCAAGAATGACACCCTATTAGGAATCAGAGGAGAAGATTTATTTTTTAACTATGGCAACAGACAAGAAAAGAATATTATGCTTTACAAGGGATCAGGTTTATGGAGCAGATGGAAAGTCTATGGAACCACAGATGATTTATGCTCTAGAGGTTATGAAGGTAAGCAGCATGGAATTCTTTTGCCTTTCTGTCAAATGTTTCTCATCTTAGTTAGAAACTAATTCAAGAAAATAAGCATGTTCTTGTTTAGTCTGTACTAAAAATATTAATTGGTTGATTTTGTGTTTTGAATTATTCTGTGTTCTATGAGAACATGACAGTGAATAAATGGTCAAAGTCTTGAGTGATACTTTAACTATTTATAATTAATAGGAAGACATGTTTTAAAACTTTTGCTAAGTTTTTTTTTAACCATAGGTTAAAATTTTAGAAATTAATTTTCACTGTTGTCTTTATGCAAAAGCCTCTCATTTGACATTATACCATTGTAGTGATATATGAATTTAGCCAAATGTTTCTTTTCCTTTGGTTTAAGTTATACCTGGATAAATGATCCATGAAACAGCATTCTTTATCTGGTCAGATTGCCTAAAATTAAATCTTGGCATTCCTTGACAACTTGGGTTTCTAAATGGGTATTGAGAGACTGTAAGAATAAAAACATTAGAAAAACTGGAGGAATTAGTTTATAAATTAACACAGAGAGTATTTAGTCAGCTATTGTAGGAAGTGGCAGCACAGTGGGGCAGGAAGTAATTTTATATGAAGGTTAAATAAAATCTTAGAATTTAGTCTTCACAAAGACTTCTTGAGTCCGATGTTATAACCACATTCGAACTTTGGACACTTGGTTATTGTGAATTGTTATCTAGAACAACCTCAGGGTCAGAGAAAGCCTGCATTTTTGAACAAGAGATCACCTTTTTCCAAGCTTCCTATGTCACTGAGCCTGCCAAGATAGGCTGAATTTAGCTACAGTCAGCAAGCAGAGCATAAGATTTCTGATATTTGTAAGGTGGGAATTTGTCAGCTTTTAATTTTCTTTGTACATAAAGAGGAGGGAGAGTAGGAGTTGAAATAGAGTGAGAAGGAACATTCAGAAAGAAGGTGTCCTGAGGCATTTACTGAAGAAAATACAGGTTTAGAAGTTATATGAAAGGCAACCTAAGCAGTATTAACTTGGCCTTTCTATCAAGTTAATCCACTTAGTCAAATTTGGTTCAGTCTTGTCCTGCCCTATAATTTTCTGTCAGGTTAATCCTGCTAGAAGATCTAGACCATCAGAGTGATCTTGGAATCCATTCACTGGAATATGCATTAGGTCTGAAGACTATGCAGAGAGAGTATATGTAGTCCCCCTTTCTCTACAGAAAACTTGGGGGAAAAAAACAGCTGAGGCCAGGGATCATTTTAGAAATAGGATCAGAATTGTAGACTTAGAAGCACCTAAGGGTTGTCTGGAAGGTTGGACCATGTGAGAACAAGTAAATTCACTGTAATTATATGATGTGGCAGTGAAGTGGCTGGAGTGCAGGATTCTTTTGGCCTCATCAGTTCTTGGCTAAATAAATCAGGTTAGTTTGAAAAGTCCATTTCTGATTGACATCCAGAAGTCCAGCACTGAAAATTCCTTGCCTAATTTAATGAACAGTGCAAGTAGCCCTCAGATAATCTAAACAGGTTTTTTTTCACGTGAAGAAACAGGTATCCCACTTATTGAGGGTAGCATAATTATTTCTGAACCTAGCATGTTCCTTATACAATATATGGTTTTGAAAAGTAGTCCTGTAACTTAGTGGAACAACTAGGTCATTGGCAGAATACTAATTTTGAGATAGTCAAAAAATAAACCTACCTCTTAAAGAGAACTAGGTAAGTACAGTGAGTGAAGGAAAAGGAAAGGAGGTAAGGAACTTCTATGTACTATGTACTTAACACATGTTAGGTCCTGGGCTACATGTTTTACAAACTGTTATCTAAATGACTTTTAAGATGTCTATAAGATATTTAAAAATCTTAAGAACTTTTTAAAGTCACGGAATCTATAAAACTTAATTAAGAAAAGAACATTCCTATCTAGGACAAATTCTGATACTCATTGGTGGCAAAAGGCTAAATACTTCCATAATAGAAGGTTACTGTCTCCCAAAGGGGCAGCTCTACAGAGAGAGACTTTAAACATACAGGAGCATTTAGCTAGGTGAGTGGTGTGGCTGTCAGTGGAGAGAGGGACTTCTCTAATTCTTTTGACTTAAGCCAAACCAGAATAAACAATGATTCTACACTTTTTCAATTTTCCTTTCTTGGAAAACTCAGAGCTTCCCATTTTGATCTATTTGAATTCAGTTTTTTTTTTTTAAAGACAAATATCGATTGTAGGTGACATTTGATGGTTTTGAGTGATGTGTTTCCATGATGTAAATTAAAGTGTTATACCAAAATGCCTACCCTTTCTCACAGCCACTGTTGAAGGACTGAAGTGGAAGCTAGCTTGACAAGAAGTGGTTAGAGGGGATTTAACCATGTGCTTGTATCTCACAGCTATAAGGTTATTTTTCAATTTAGAAATCTAATAATTCTACAATTCCAACCAAGAGGAAGCATACCCTCTTTTCTGTGTTGAAGGAAATGGAGAAGTCAAAGCTGGTGTCAGTAGAGCTGACTACTTTTGCCTCACAAAAGGAAAGAGGAAAATCTGTTCTAAAAGACAACAGAAATGAAGTGGTACTAGACTTATCCTTAAGTACAGACTGCTGTACGTACTCAGCAAAAGATAGGGGTAGAAAGAGAAGAGCAATATAAGAGGATTCCTGGGGGGGGGGGGTACACCGAGTGTGATCCAAAGAGTAAGACCTAGTCTTTAGATATCCTCCTTATTGGAAGGTCAACGTTCAGAAGATTCACTTACATTCTAATTGCAAGCCAGTATGTCCCTTCTAGCCATGTACACCCTCCTGGGCAATGCAAATGGAGCAACGTGTGTATTTCCATTCAAGTTTGAGGACAAGTGGTATGCAGACTGCACAAGTGCTGGGCGATCAGATGGATGGCTCTGGTGTGGAACCACTAGAAATTATGATGCGGATAAGCTATTTGGATATTGTCCATTGAAATGTAAGTAAGTTTATCATCCAGAAAAGTTTGGCACATTTAGTAGGGCAATGTAGTGTGATGGAACCTTGTGTTTATATAGAATGTTTCCCCTCAGACTTATTTCTCACTTAATATCTAATCATACTCCACAACCACTTTTTTTTAGGTGTCACTGTCCACATTTTATAATGGAGAGAGTGATTCATATTGGCCAAAGACCAGAATGTACATCTTCCACCTCTCAGCCCTGGGCTGTGCCCAGTGCCTGTATTTTCACCAACTACTTCTTTTTCTCAACTTCCACTGTTACTGTTGCTTACTTTCTAAGACTTTAGGACAAATTACACTGTAGATGATGGAACATATACTCAGCACCAGACGTAGGCATGCCATTCCCCAAACCCGCAATAACTTTCTGTTATGAAGCTACAGATTAAAACAGAATTTAAACAATGCCACAAGCATGTGGTCTGATGGAGAGAGAGATGAGGGGGCTCCTGAATTTTGTGTCAGTGTAATGAAAAAGACTCTGTACTGTGAACATGATAGTATTACAATTAGAAAATTTAATTTAAGGAGAGTATCATTTAATTTAACACAGCTCTGCATCAAATGGAAGTGGGTCATGTGTATGCTTGAAGGGTTTTTAACATGGGGCTTTAAGTGGTATTGCAAAAATGCGAAGTAAGTGGCACTGCATTAAATCGAAGAGAGGAACATAGATGCGGTCTGGGATGGTGTTAAGGCCATCTGAACTGCAACGACTTTGCTTACAACTAACCTTCCAAGATCACACATACACACACAACCACATTATTCTATGCACATTGTAAAACAGAACAACTTACAAAAACTTTTAATTTGTCAAGTTAAAGTGAGAATTTGAAGAAACGTGTTTATCTCTTTTGATTTATAATCCCTAACCATCCCACTAAAAATACATTTGATTTCTCAGCCCCATGTATTACTGTAATGCTCCTCGTGTGTGCCATTCCTCCATTCGGGGTGAGTATCTGCCAAAACTCACAGGCTTCCCGTTCATAGTGATACTGCTCTACTGGTGAGTAAATGTATTCACCTCTCTTTAACATCATTTAGAGGTTTGATTCCTGTGGAACGTTTGTAGATATCTGATCTCTGTAGAATTTTTCTAAAGACAGAAATGGAGTTTTTTTTCCCCCTGAGATAAAGCAGTACTTGTTTATCAGCGATTGAGGAGTGTTTTTCTCCATTACTTAGAAGGAATGGTTTTTCTAAATCTGTTATTGTGGAGTTTCTTGGGGGTATAGATTTCAAAGGTCCAATTATAGCATACTGCACATAAATGGTGCTGACAAAGGAGTTGTTGGATGTATGTATGATTTAATGAGTCATTCAGTAAATCACAAAAAACGCTCACAACTTTGGGTAGATGTTTGTTGGAGGAGCATTCTGAGTATGTTCTAGAATAATCCTTCAGTCTTGTTACTTCTAATTTATGTCTTCAAAACCAAATTGTTTATTTTACAATTAATGTAAAAGTAACTGTAGAGAAATTTAAAACTGATTTCAATACACATTAAAAATTTAAAGCACACTTAACACATTGCATGCGTTTTTAAAGGGCTTTGCAATTTCCCAGTCTATTTCATTTTCCTTGTGTTTCTTTCCAAACGAACATGTTATTTTATATTAACCTTAAATTAGCTGGCTCAATATAGGAAGATGGGATACCAGTTACTGACTTAGTGACACTCAATATATACTCTCATTGTCCTTTGCATTGTTTCTTGTATTGTTTTCCTTCTACTTACACATTTACTTTGGAGTACCATGAGAACAGGAAAAGGAAAACATCCTTTTCTCTCAGTTCTCCACAGCTTCAACTTTAGCTTTCACCTTCAGTTGTGCTGGTTAATTGTGGGAATTTGAACAATTTGGGTAGATGTAGAGTCAGCAAACCTATACATTCATTGAGAAACAGGTTTTTAATTCCTTGATTTAAAATGCAAAATACACTTTCTTGAAATGAAGGGCCAAATTGAATTCCACCTTTAGTCATTTATATCCCTTTCCTCCATTCCTGAACAAGAAAATAACCCCCTCTTTTTTTGGTCTCTCATTTTCTTGTATATTGTGAGCAAAAAATATTTATTTAAAACATTTCCATCTTCAAATAAGCCTCAATCCAGTCTCATCTGGATGATACCATGTGGAGAATAATCCATTTGCTCATTAAACTAGTAAGCCCTGCAGATCATGATAGTTTAAATGGAACATTACTAATTCAAATTTATTTTTTATGTAAATATATAATGATTTCACAGTTAAAACATCTTAGGAATCCCTATACTGTTGCCTGAATGAAATTTTGATATATTTTTCTTCCTCTTTTGTGTGCCATGGGACTGCAAAATTCATATCATAGTATGCAGTATGCACATCAAAAGGTTACTTCCTCATCAGATACAAAGAACCACAGCAGTGTAGGCTATATGCTTATGGAAAATTGCCCTATTTCTTAGCAAGTTGAATACTTCTCAGAAAATTTCAAAAGTTACATAATCCTTTATCTCTTCCTTACAAATAAATGAACGGATTATTACTTCACATGACGTGTATATAGAATTTTCTATTATTAAAAAGGCAAGAGAAATTTTCATAATACGAGGCACATAAAAATATTTCATTTGTTGATTGTTTTCCCAAACATCTTATATGTAAAATGCTATAAATAATATTTATCTATATGTATTATTGGCCTTTTATAGAGTATAGCCAATATATACAGTATATTGGGAATTATAAAATAGCAAAGGAAAGTATAAGCTAAAATCATTATTTTTTACTCTGAAGAAAGAAAAACTAACAATCAACATCTACTATTGCCAGTAGCTTATCTATAGGTAATATTTTAGAGATGAGAAAATGAGACTTGAAAAGTTAAGAATTTAAACAAGGTAAAACCACTGCTGAGTGACTGTGTCTGGATACAGGTCCAGGTCAGTCCGTCTGCAGTTTGTGACCTTCCCTTCTAGTGCCTGTGTCTTGGTCTGAACAGAACAAACTAGAAAATGCAGGCAAAATACTTGCTGAGAGAAGGTATATATTTATTTTCACCTCTCCCTTTATTTATTTTTTTCTAAATTAAGGAAGTTGGGCTGGTATCTTTATTCTTACTTGATTTTCATATTTTCCTCACTTCCCAACTCAAGTGATCCCAAATATCCCAACAGAAAAATAAGGAGACTGTGCCTCCCTTTTCCCTTAAACACGTGAAAGAGATTGATTGACCTTTTAAAAACTCCTGTTTTTCATTATCAAGAGTGAAGGAAATCTCATAGACACTTGAAAAATACAGAAAAAAAAAAGGAAAAGAAATACAGTGTTTCAGGCAATATTGCTACTAAGATTGTTTAAAAAGCATTGTTCAGTGAAAGTCTTTTCTTGCAGTTATTCAGCCAATCCCACTGACTTCTTTTACAGTTGAGGGCAGTGAAAGCTTATGGAATAAAGATCCATTGACTGGCATTTCCTACCAGATAAACTCCAAATCTGCTTTAACTTGGCACCAGGCGAGAAGGAGCTGCCAGCAACAGAATGCTGAACTCTTGAGCATCACAGAGCTACATGAGCAAACCTACCTGACAGGTAATGACATGAAAAAAAAAAAACCCCAATATCTTAAGATTATGATTATTTTATTCCTATATTTAATGTAAATGCAGACAGCACAAATGATTATAGCCATCATGATAGAGTCAGTCCTAAGCACATAGTACAGATCGTATGATGAATCTGCGCCCTAAAAAGAGATACCCAGGATGGCAAATAGGTTTCAACTTATGAGGCATCTGGATGCCTATCAGTTGTGACAACCAGAACTGAGCTGGGGATTCTGAGGATCAATCTAGGCTCAGAATAGAAGATACCACAATCAATTAGTGACGGTGTTCTTGGACACAGGTCAGGGGTATCGTGCTGTTCAGGTTTCTGGGTCTAACCTGAAGCCAGAGGTTTTCTGTTAGCATCACAGAATTCAAAATGATAAGATGAATGCTAATAAAATGCTGCCACCATTTCCAAGGGCTGATGAGGAGCTGCTCTCGGACTCTGCATCCTTTCTACCTCCTGTCTCTCAAACTCCCAGATGCTCCTCTTTTTCAGGCCTTATTGATAGCGTTGCTACAGTCTGTTGGTTTTTTTGAAGCATGTGTTCTTATAGGATTGTGAGGATTAAAAGAGCTAAAGTTGAGAAATTCTCAAGATGGCAGTGTGAGTAGGGTGGTGGAAATCTCCTCCCAAAACCATATGTATTTTGTAAATACAGCAAATACAACTATTCGTAAAAGAGTGAACAGAAGGTACAATACACCAGCCAAGCTATATCTACATCTGCGATAACTCAACAGCTCACGAAAAAAATCAGACACAAAGCCATGATCTGGAGGTACCTGAGCACTCCCCCCACCCCAGCTCACGGGCCAGAGGAAAAGAATCAGACTGGGGAGGGAGTGGAAGTACAGGACTGCTAAATAACCAGCCCTAGTAATCTGCACCGGGAGTACAGACACACATTGCATGGTGTACTGAATATAAGAGGAATGGAATATAAGAGGAATGGAAAAGCAAGACTATAAACAGGTTCCCACATCCAGCTGCCCTAGGACAAAACAAAAGTGGGTGCTTTAAAAGTCTTAAAGGAACAAGGGTTTAACAGGTGGACAAAATCGTCCTGCACACTCAACCCAGCAGGCTGGGAACTTTAAGGAACTTCAGGCACCCTAACCTCCTGGGTAGCAAGCAGCACTGAAGCCCCTAACAGTGATAAGCAGCCTGCCATTCATTTCCCCAATGGCACTGCAAGCAAACCAGCTGCCCTGTCATTGCAGCAGAGCAACTGGGGAGCAGCCCCACCCACAGCAACCACACAGAGGCTTCTCCCCATGCATAACTAACTGGGCCTGACCCAGAGGCTGCCCCCAGCCCATTGTCAACCAACACATACAGCAGAAATAGGCTCAGAGTCTGAAAGGCCCAAAGGGGCTTTATTCTTGTAGCAAACATGCGCTGCTTGCCTGCAACCTCTGCCAGTGCCCTAGGCCATCCTGAGGGCAGCCCCATCCACAGCAGCTCAGGGGATTAACCAAGGGGCTTCCCCCTGTGAGCAGCCAACTGGTAAGGGCAGAGTCAGCTGGTGCACAGTCTGGAAAGCATGTAGGGGCTCTGTTCTCACAGTGAATATGCATTGATTGCCTGCAACCACTGCCAGTGCCCTAGGCTATACAAGGGCCACCCCCCATATGGCAGCCCAGGGAATTAACCCAGAGGCTGCACCCTGTGTGTGGTTGATTGGCACAGGCAGCGGAAATGGGCAAGGTGACCAGCAAACAGGAAGGGACTTTGTTCTCACAGCTGACACACATGCCACTCACCGGCCATCACTTCCATTGTAATGAAAAGGCAGAAGAACCTTGTTCAGTTCAAAATCCCTCAAACATGAAAGAGAGGGCCGGGTGAGACTGAAATCACCAAGCTTCCTGAAAAAGGATCAAAATAAAAGTCATAAGCATGCTGATGGAGCTACAGAGAAATACACAAGAGCTAAGGGATGAATTCCGGAGGGAGATAACAGAAATGAAACAAACAATGGAAGGACTTAAGAGCAGACTGGATAGGGTGCAAGAGACTGTTAATGGAACAGAAATCAGAGAACAGGAATACAGAGAAGCTGAGGCAGAGAGAGACAAAAAGATTTCTAGAAATGAAAGAATATTAAGAGAACAGTGTGACCAAATCAAAAGGACCAATATTTGCATTATAGGGGTACTAGAAAAAGAAGAGAAAAAAGGGATAGAAAGTGTCTTTGAAGAAATAATTTCTGAAAACTTCCCCAGTCTAGGGAAGGAAATAGTCTCTCAGATCATGGAAGTCCACAGATCTCCCAACACAAGGGACCCAAGGGGGACAACACCAAGATATATAATAATTAAAATGGCAAAGATTAAGGGCAAGGACAGAATATTAAAAGCAGCCAGGGAGAGAAAAAAAGATCACCTACAAAGGAAAATCCATCAGGCTATCATCAGACTTCTCAGCATAAACCTTATAGGCCAAAAGAGAATGGCATGATATATTCAATGCAATGAAACAGAAGGGCCTTGAACCAAGAATAGTGTATCCAGCAAGATTATCCTTTAAATTTGAAGGAAGAATTAAACAATTCCTAGATAAGCAAAAGTTGAGGGGATTTACCTCCCACAAACCATCTCTATAGTGTATTTTAAAGGGACTGCTCTAGATGGAAGGGCTCTGAAGGCTAAATAGATGTCAACAGAGAAAATAAAACCACAGGAAAAAATGTAGACCAACCAAATGCTAACTAAATGCAAAATAAAATCAGCTATCCACAAAATCAGTCAAAGAAAACACAAAAGAGTACAGAATAAAACACCTAACGTATTAAGAGTAGAGGAGGAAGAAAAAGAAGGGAGAGAAATAAAGAATCATCAGACTGTTTATAATAGCTTAATAAGCGAGTTAAGTTAGACAGCTGGACAGTAAATAAGCTACCCTTGAACCTTTGGTAACCACAAATCCAAAGCCTGCTATGGCTATAAGTAAATATCTATTGATAATCACCCTAAATGTAAATAGACTGAATGCACCAATCAAAAGACACAGAGTAATAGAATGGATAAAAAAGCAAGACCCATCTATATGCTGCTTACAAGAAACTCACCTCAAACACAAACACATGCACAGACTAAAAGTCAAGGGATGGAAAAACATATTTCAGGCAAACAACAGAGAGAAGAAAGCAGGGGTTGCAGTACTAATATCAGACAACATAGACTCCAAAACAATGAAAGTAACAAGAGATAAAGAAGGATACTACATAAAGATAAAGGGCTCAGTCCAACAAGAGGATATAACCATTATATATATCAATGCACCCAACACAGGAGCACCAACATATGTGACACAAATACTAACAGAATTAAAGGAGGAAATAGACTGCAATGCACTCATTTTAGGAGACCTCAACACACCACTCACTCCAAAGGACAGATCAACCAGACAGAAAATAAGTAAGGACACAGAGGCACTGAACAACACACTAGAACACATGGACCTAATATAGATCTACAGAACTCCACACTCAAAAGCAGCAGGATACACATTCTTCTCAAGTGCACATGGAACATTTCAGAATAGACAACATACTAGGCCACAAAAAGAGCCTCAGTAAATTCCAAAAGATTGAAATTGCCAATTTCTCAGATAACAAAGGTATAAAACTAGAAATAAATTCTACAAAGGAAACAAAAAGGCTCACGAACACATGGAGGTTTAATAACATGCTCCTAAATAACCAATGGATCAATGACCAAATTAAAATAGATCAAGCAATATATGGAGACAAATGAAAACAACAGCACAACACTCCACCTTCTGTGGGACACAGTGAAGGCAATTCTAAGAGGAAAGTATATAGCAATCCAGGCCTATTTAAAGAAGGAAGAACAATTCCAAATGAATAGTCTAAATTCACAATTATTGAAACTGGAAAAAGAAGAACAAATGAGGCCCAAAGTCAGAAGAAGGAGGGACATAATAAAGATCAGAGAAGAAATAAACAAAATTGAGTAGAATAAAACTATAGAAAAATATCAATGAAACCAAGAGCTGGTTCTTTGAGAAAATAAAGAAAATAGATAAATCCCTAGCCAGACTTATTAAGAGAAAAAGAGAATCTATACACATAAACAGAAATACAAAATCAGAATGGACAAATCACTACAGATACCACAGAAATACAAAGAATTATTAGACAAGACTATGAAAATCTATATGCTAACAAACTGGATAACCTAGAAGAAATAGGCAACTTTTTAGAAAAATACAACCTTCCAAGACTGACCCAGGAAAAAACAGAGAATCTAAACAGACCAATTACCAGCAATGAAATTGAATCAGTTATCAAAAGACTACCCAAGAACAAAACCTCCAAACAAGATGGGTTCACTGCTGAATTTTATCAGACACTTAGAGAAGACATAATACTCATTCTCCTTAAAGTTTTCCAAAAAGTAGAAGAAGAGGGAACACTTCCAAACTCATTCTATGAAGACAGCATCACTCCAGTACCAAAACCAGGCAAAAACACCACATAAGAAAACTACAGACCAATATCCCTGATAAACATAGATGCAAAAGTACTCAACAAAATATTAGCAAACCAAATTCAAAAATACATCGAGAGGATCATACACCATGATCAAGTGGGATTCATCCCAGGGATGCAAGGATTGTATAACATTTGAAAACTGTCAACATCATCCACCACATCAACAAAAAGAAGGACAAAAACCACATGATCATCTCCATATATGCTGAAAAAGCATTTGACAAAATTCAACATTCTTCATGATAAAACTCTCAACAAAATGGGTATAGAGGGCAAGTACCTCAATATAATAAAGGCCATATATGACAAACCCACAGCCAACATCACACTTAACAGCGAGAAGCTGAAAGCTTTTCCCCTGAGATCGGAAAAAGACAAGGATGCCCACTCTCCCTGCTTTTATTCAACATGGTACTAGAGGTCCTAGCCATAGCAATTAGACAACAGAAAGAAATAAAAG